GCGCGGGGAGGGAGGACCCCGGGGCATCCCGAACCCGACCAGGAGGAAAAGGGGGTGATTGGGGTGGGGGTCGGGGGTCCGAGGGTGTCCCGGGGATCCCTTCGATCCTCCCGCTGGTGGAGGCGGATCCCCCTCTAGCCCCAGCTCTGCAGGGAAGGGGGTGCGGGGTGACCCCCCCACCCCTGCACAGGGTGATACCGGGCGGGGAATCATTACCGGGTAGTGGTTATTACCGGGCGGGAGGTGGGTTATTACCTGTGCGCCGGTCATTCCCGGGCCGTCGATTTCCGGGGTGTGGGTCATTCCCGAGCGGTGAATTCCCGGGGTGCGGGTCATTCACGGGATGGGGGTCATTGTGAGCGGTGGGTACCCGGGGTAGGGATCACTCCCAGGCGGTGAATTCCCGGGGTGCGGGTCATTCCCGGGCTGCGGATCATTCCCGGTGTGCGGGTCATTTTCGGGGTGCTGGTCATGCCCGAGGTGGGGGTCATTCCCGAGCGGTGAATTCCCGGGGTACGGGTCATTCCCGGGATGGGGGATCATTCCCAGGCGGTGAATTCCCGGTGTGCGGGTCATTCCCGGTGTGCAGATCATTCCCCAGGCCGCCGGTGCCTTGCAGAGCTCCCGTCCGTGGGGCCGGACAGTCGCGCCCCCCGATGCGGGCAGCAGCCGGCGCTGGGCCATGAGCAACGCCACGGCCCCCACGGCCCCGGGCGCGGCGGGGGACTCGCTGGTGGGCTCCGTGCTGGGACCCTTCCTCCTCCTCACCCTCCTCGGCGCCCTCCTGGCCGCGGTGAGTGGGCGGGCGGGGGGCAGCGATGGGGGGCGCCGAGCCCGGCCGGAGCCCCCGCCGCTGATGCCTTTCCCCGCAGGTGATGTACGTCAAGAAGCGCAGGTGAGCGGGGCCGCGGGGCTGGGGGCCGCGGGGGCTGCGGGGGCAGAGCTCACCGGCGACCCCCGGCAGGTCCGACCGGCTGCGGCACCGGCTGCTGCCCATGTACAGCTACGACCCCGCTGAGGAGCCGCCCGAGTCCGAGCAGGAGCTGCTGGTGGAGGCTGAGGAGGCTCAGGTGGGTCGTTGTCCTGGGAATTGGCGTTTATCCCGTTTTTCCATGGAAAACTGAAGCAGCAGCAGCGAGGTGCCTGTCCCGAGGGAACTCTGGGAATCGCTGAGGTTGGGAAAGACCTCTAAGAATGCTGAGTCCGACCTCGAAGGAATCAGGCTTTGGGTATAATGCAGAAGTTTTTGGGAGGGTTGGGCTGCGTGGGCAGTGCCTCCCCACCCGCTGCGATGCCCTGGGCTGCAGGTGTGTCCCTTTGTGTTGCAGGTGGTGCCCGGCTGGGGGGGACCCTCGCCCTCTTGGCCCCCGCGCAGGGACTGGAGGGCCTGACTCTGCCTGGAGCAGCGGGACCGGATCCTGCCCGCGGGAGGGAAGGGAGCACGGGGGCAGCGCTGGTTCCATCAGCCAGAACGGGCTGGATGTGCCCACGGTGATGCCACAATGCCACAGCTGCTGTCCCCACCTCTGAGCACTGACCGGGATGGGACATCTCCTACCTCAGTGCCTGGTTTTGCCATTTTTTCTTTGCTTGAAGTGCTCCAGCAGCCCCTTGGAAAGCCCAGGAGGGCCCACTGGGGCTGGCAGACTGGCAGGGAGCAGCAGGTTCTGCTGGCACGGGATGCCTGGGGGAAGATGGGGTAAATAAATATGTCTCTGCCTTGGCCCCGGGGCTCTGAGTGGGGCTGGGGATTCCCGGCCTTGGGTGGGAATTTGGGGGGCAGCAAGGCTTTGCCTGTTTGTGTTTCCATCGGCAGCTCATCCCCATGGATGGCTGGATGTCCCTGTGCAGGAGATGCCCCAGGAGGAGCCAGGGGGTTGAACAGAGGCTCACAAACATCCATAAAATGTTTTATTCAAGTAACTGCAAATAGGAACCCAAAAGGTCGTTAACAGTGAACCAAAAAAAAACCCAAACCAAACCCCGATTCTCTCCCGCCGGGGCCGCCCGGCACCGACCTCCGGTCCCGCTGCAGCCGTCGTGCCGGGGCAGAGGGGCAGGGGGAGCATCCCATGGTCCCCCCACACCTCTGCCCTGCCAGCCTCGATCCCTTGAAGCAGCAGAGCAAACTAGACCTCAAAATAACAATTAAAAAAAAAAAAAAATACCCCACAGCCCCCAGCAACAGCCCGAAAACAGGAACCACCGAGCCCACGGTGCCCTGGCAGCGCAGCAGCACGTCTGTGAGTTCAGAGCGTGGAACTTAAATATCCAGAGGTAGTTGTGAATGAAAGGAAAAAAAAAAAGTACTAAACAAAAAAAAAATATATATACCAGAACCTATGGGGAGAGGGCTGCCTGGAGCCAGCCGTGCCCGGGCACCCCTGGGGACTGGCACCCCTGGGGGTGGGCACCCCGGGGATGGGCACCGGGCCCCGGCAGCGCCGTGGGAGCTGCTCCCGCACACAGTGCAGTCACCCAGGACTGGGGGGGACAAAGGGGTTGCCCAGGGTCAGAGCAAAGGTCTAATGCATTTTGGGGGGGGTCTCACCTTCACTGTCCCCCCTGTCTCTTCCCTGCAGAGGCCCCAGGGCAGAGCCCAGTGCTGGGGGGGCAGCCAGCACCCACTTTGGCGGGGTGAGATCACTGCACGGGGGGCAGTGAAGGTGGGGGGTGCCAGCCCCGGCTCTCTGCCATGATCCCCCTTTCCAGTGGGGCTGCCCCGAACCCCAGGGCTGGGGAGGGGGAGCTGGGGCAGGTGCCCCCCCCGGGCGGGGGCTGCGGGGGCCGCCCGGGTTGGGCCATTTTCCAGTGCTGCCGTTGTCTGAGGGTGAGGAGGGAGCGGAGGAGGGAGGAGGAGGAGGAGGAAGCCAGGGCGGCACGGTGGGTCTCTCCCCGCCCCTCTCCCCCGGCCGCTGCGGGGCCGTCGGGCGATGAGGTAGCGCCGGTTTGGGAGGTGTCACTGCTCCTCCTCGGATGACTCCTGGGAAATGTTCACCTCCTCCTCGTCCTGCTGCTGCAAGGCAAAGGAGCGTGGCCGGGGGGTGTCAGGGAGAGCAGCCCCACCCCACCGCCCCTGCACCAAGGGCTGCCCAGGCACATCACACCCCTCCTGCAACGAGGGAAACTGAGCTACAGCCCCCTGCAGTGCAAGGACTGGCCCTGACCCCAGCTCGGAGGTAAATCCCAGGTGAGAAGCCCTCGGGTGGGCTCACAGCAAGGAGGGCAGAGCATTCCCCACCAACACCTCCGAGCGTGGGACCGCGGTCCCCAGAGCCACGGCCGGGTCCCCAGTGCCACCGGGGGGGTGGTGGCAGCCAGGAATGTCCCTGTCCAGCCCCGGGTGTCCCTGTCCAGCCCCGGGTGTCCCTGTCCAGCCCCCACGCCGGTGTGGGAGGCCGTGACCCCGCACGCGGCGGTGACTCAGGGCTGAGTGAGCCTGAGTCACAGCAGCCCCCGCTTCCTCCCTCTCCATTCACAAAAACGCCACCGCGCCTGCCAGAGCGGGACATCGTGTCCCGGCACGGCCCCGCTGGCACGGGACAGGCTCCTGCCACACCCCCCTGCACTGGCTGCCTGCCCTGGGGTCCCCAAACAGCCCCCGGCACTGTGACACCAGCACAGGGGACCCCAGGATGGCACCTCGGGTTTGCAGCCCTGGCTGGCTTTAACTCCTTGGCTCTGCGAGGGATTTCAGTGGGAAAAGGAGCGAAATCAGGGACTGGCAGGGAAAGGAGATGAAACTGTCCGGGTACCTGGCACCTTCCTGAGCTGTGAACCGAGGGGGAAAGGAGGAAAAATGGAATGGAGGAGGGGAAGCTCAGGGAAGGAAGGGGGTGGCTGCACCCGTGGGCTGCAGGAATGCTGTTCAAGGACCCAGGGAGGCGAGTGCCAGCATGTCCCCAGGGCAGGACCAGCCAGCCAGCACTGCTCTTGGGCCCACGGGGAGGTGGGGTGGGCAGCATTCCTCAAACCCCCACCTCTAGAGGTTTCAGAGCCCACCCAGTGCAGTGTCCTACTCGCTCAACTACTCCCCAGAGAGCTCCAACCCAACAGCCTCATGGAGCTCTCTGGGGAGCTGCTGTGCCCCCAAAGTGCCCAGCACCCTGCCAGGGTGGATGGGGAAAGGAAAAAGCCGGCTCACCGATTTTTTGGGTCGCCCTCGAGGTTTCCTCCCTGGTGTGACTGCAGCTTTCTGAGCCAGGACAACAAAAAAGGCATTTTGGTCAGGCTGTCCCCAGGATGCTGGCAGGGGTGGGCGGTGTTCCCCTTCCTCCCACTGTGACTGCTGGATTCATCACCCCAGTGGCATCTCCTGGGGTGCTGCTGCCAGCCCCCCAAGCCCCTCCAGCCCCGGGATGCCCCGTGAGTCACGAGGTGGGTGCAGGATGTGAGTCGCGTGTTTTGCAAACAGGTTTATCTCGGGTGTCCTGGTGCTGACACACGGCCCCCAGCTCCCCCACCCTCCTCGAGCCAGATTCCTCCCCACATCCCCACCCTGAATTGTCCGTATCTGAGCTCAAACAGGACCTGTGGTGCCAGCACCCAGCTGGAGCAGCCCCGTCCCAGGTACCTACCCTGCCCTTTGGGGTGGCCTTGTTTTTACTGCCCTTCGGCCGTCCACGGGGTCTCTTGGGGGTCGGGGCCTCGCTGGGCTCCTGCTGGAGGGAGAGCACAGGGGGTTTGCATGCCCAGAGCAGCTTCCAGTGCAGCCCAGAATGCTCCAGCCTGGAGTCCCGTTGTCCCCAGCCAGGGCAGGGATGTTCCCATGTGGTACTGGGAGTACTGGTCACACTGGGATTGGCGATCAGATGCCAGGCACAGGCTCCTGTGTGTCCTTCAGCTGGGCATACGTGACCTTTTCCACCCCCAGCATCACCCACTCAGCCCAGCTGCATGGTCCCCACGGCCCCTCAGCCCAGACCCTGCTCCCTGCTGGTGCTGCAGCCGAGGAAGTGTTGGGGAAGCCACAAATCACCTTTTCTGCAGGAAAACGATGTGCACAAACCCCACCTACCTCGGGGGGGGGGGGCTGAACAGGGTTTGGTACTATAAAGGCTCCAGCAGCATCTTATCTCTCTGAGCAGCTTTTGCTAATGGGGCTTTAATTAGCCTGTCTGCAAAGGCAGGTTCAGCAGGGCCTGGGGAGGGGCAGGAGAGCCCCCAGCCGGGGCCAGGAGCTCTTGGGGGGCTCTGGAGACCCCCAGGAAGGTCTTGCTGCCCTGGGGAGGTGCTGCCCAAAGGGGTAGCGGGGCTGCACTGGGGTGTAGGTGTGTGGGGGGGTTCCTGCTGCCCCATACCCTGGGAGTGCCCAGCCCCCTCTTTCTCACAGGGCACCCCACGTACCTGTGGCTTCTTCCTAGGCCGCCCTCGGCCCCTCTTCTCCGACACGTCTTTCTCCCCTTTGGAGGCCAGGGGCTGGCTGGATTTGGCGCTGGATTCACTCATCGTCTGTCCCAGCAGGGCGAGGAGGAGTGGGAGGGAGGAAGGTCAGTCAGGCACAGCTCTGGCTCGCCATGCCAGCCGTGACATCCCCCAGCCCTCCCCCTGGGGCAGGAGAGATGCCCCCTGCATGCTCCTGGCACTGGCTGGGGAGCAAAATGCCCTGAGCCCATGGCACAGCCACCCACAGCCAGTGCCCAGCTTCTGGGCAGCTCCCGGGGTCCCCTCAGGCATTTGGGGAGCAGCAGCTTGGCCTGCCCATCCTGCAGACCTGGCCCCTTTCCTGAAGGAGAGTGGCTCCAGATTTAATCTGAAAACCCAGATGTGCTGCTGGCACTGGCGAGTTGAGGCAGGGTGAGTGGTGGCACTGGGGACCTTGGGTGTCCCTAGGAGGGTGCCAGGTTCCTGGAGTGGGGCTCGGGGTCCTGCAGCCCTGCTCCCCACCCCACCCTCAGCACTGCTGCACTCTTGCCTCTGCTGCCTAGCTGGGGTTAGGGACCTCCCCTGTGCATGTCCCAAAGGGCTGGGCAGCTCTCCCTTGCTCTTGGAGCAATTCCACCATGGAAAAGGCTCCATCTTCCCCTCTCCACCTTGCTGCTTCCCAGGGGCACAGGGAAAACCTGCTTTTCCAGCGCTGCGGGGGTGGCTCCGTGCCCAGCAGCCAGCCCAGGAGCCGGCAGGATGGGCTCAGGGTGGGGAGGAGCAGGATTGCTGCCCTGCTGCTCACAGTGACCCCACACAGGTGGGGTGACCACGGCCATGCTGGGGACACCTGCCCAGGGTGGGGATGTGAGGCTTCCCAGCAGGAACAGAGGCAGCTCCGAGGCTGTGTGCCCAGTCTGTGTGTGCAGCCTCCTACCTCTGGGATAATAATGCTCAGTTTTGAGGAACTGGTCCCCATTTGATGGTGTTGGAGCAGCTGGGATGGCAGGGCTGTGGGGACAGAGGGTGCTGAGCCCCCTGGGACACTGAGCCTCACTGGGGAGGGTGTGGGCAGGACATGCAGCCACTCTGAGGAGCCACTCTCAGACCTCTGAGCCTTTTCAAAAAACAGGCGTCAGCTCCTGCTCCCCTCTGGAAGTGACTCATGAGTGCAGAACAACAACAACAAAAACCACCCTCGGAGTCTTTTTTTTTTTTTGGGAGACAGAAACCATGCCGTAGTGTAAACACCCCGAAAATATTACTCACAGCATCCCAGAGCCCTTCAAGGAGTCTCTTAGGAAAAAAAAAGAAGTATGGTTTAGATTTAGGCCAGCAAAGGGCCGGCTGCTGGTTGGGCTGGGACGGGGTTTTGTCTCTTTTTAAGTCAATCTCTGTCAGAGGCAGAGCAGCCTCGAGCTGCTCCGTGCCCCCTCCTGCAGCTGGAAACAGATGGGCCCAGCATGGCCCCCACCCTGCTGGGCTCTCCTCCCCTGGAGGAGGGACCAGACCCCACAGCAGCTCCAGCTGGGAATGCCAAGGGAACCCTCCATGGGACGGGGGTGCTGCTGGGCCTGCCCCCCTACTCCAAAAGCAGCTGCTGCTGCAAAGTTGTTGGTACTGGGGAAAGCACGTGCACCTCCCACCCCCCCTCTGCATCCCACCCACCCACCCATCCCTCCTCATCCCACCCCTTCCCTCCAGCACCTCAGGGGAGGGGGGGGCGGCCGAGCCCCAGCACCGCAACTTCGCCCCGAGCCGCGTGTGCGCGTTCCCCGAGAGCCGGGCTTGGCCTCGCACCGGCCCCGCGCTCCTCCCGCCGCCCCGGCCTCCCGGCCGGGCCCCGCTGGCTCGGCCGCGGCCCCACGCACCTTGCACGGTACCGGCCCCGCGGGCTGTCCCGGGGCCGTCCCGGGGCCGTGCGGGCCCCCGGGCGCGGTGCGGGGCGTTTGCATCACCCGCAGCCGAGTAAGTGGAGCAAAGTCGCTCGGCGGTGGGAGCAGCGGCTCCGGGGACCCCCGCCCGTCCTCCCCCCCGCTCGGCCGCGGCCCGCCAGGTGCATCACGCTGCTATTAACAATAATTAATACCGATAATAAAAGCGAAGCGCGGCGAGCCGCACGCAGCCGCGTCCCTGCAAAGCCCGACACGCCGGGGCCGATCGTGCCCCGCATGCGGCGAGGGGAAGCAGAGCCCCGGCCCCCCGCAGCAAAGGAAGAGGAAGGTGGCACTCACAGTCAGCTTGATCCCGGAGCCGGGCGTTCGCGGTGGGTTTTGGGGGCGGTTTGATGGTTTTGTTTTTCCCGGCGGGTCTCTGTTGCGGAGCGAAGGGACCCCCCGCCCGCGGCGACTGCGGATCTGCAAGGAGAAGAGAGAGGCTGCGGCTCAGCCCCGCATCCCCGGCCCCGCCAGGCCCCGCGTATTTATATAAATAATAAAGAGAGAGAGAGAAAAAAAAAATTGCTCCAGGAGGAAGGAAGCTGGGTCAAAATCATTTGCAGGGAACGAGGGGGAAAAAAAAAAAAAAAAGGAGGGAGGGGGAAAGGGGGGAGAAGGGGGGGAATAAAAAAACCGGAGCGAGCTCCTAGCCTTACTGGAGGGGATCCAGCTGCTAAAAATAGCAAAATCACACTCGAAATTAAATAAGGGCAAACAGGCGAAGGGAGCTCCCAGCGCCGGCGGAGCGGGGGAGGCGGAGCCGGGGCCGCATCACGGCGGGGGCGGCGCGGGGCGGCGCGGCCGGGAGCGATAGGGCCGTTCAAAGGGCTGCGGCGGCGGCTGCGCCCCTGGCCCTGCCTGGCCGAGCCTCCCCGCAGGCGGATGGAGGGTCTCCTTGCAGGCCGGAGAGGATTGAGGCACCCTCGTCTTCCCTCTCTGGGAATGCTCCCGGCTGGGTGACCCCGTTACCCTCGGCTGGGTGACCCCACTGTGGGTGACCCCTCCGTGGGAACACCCGCGGCTCTCCCCTCCCTCTATTTTGGGCTGGTGTGGGGGCTTTGGTGTCCCCGTGGGGGCAGTCGTCCTGTTCCGATAGCCAGAGCACGATGCTCCTTCTGTTTGCTGCCTCCTCACCAGGTCAGCCCCCCACAAAAGCTTTTGGTCCCCATGTGGAGGCAGCAGCAGTGGGGGCTCCTTCCCCGGGGTCCCCAGGGCTGCCTGGATGGTGCTGTGACATTAATTTAATGTGTTATTGCAGCACCACTGCTGAAAGGGGAAGCTGTTGTGGGAGCAGCTTCTGCTCGGTGCACAGTGGGGTTTGGGGGGGTCGTGGGTGGCCCCGAGGCTCTCCTGGGCTTTAGGGAGGTGCTGGGCTCAGTCTGAACTGAAGAGCTTTGATGAGAATTCCTCTGGTCAGTTTGGAAGTGGTTTGGGTCAGCCTGGAGTCAGCTGAGATCAGCTCTGCAATGAGGTACCCCAAAACTCAGGTCCCTGCTGTGTCAGGAGTGTTTCTAACACAAGTTGAGCATCTGGGGTCTTGTGGTGCTTTTCCTTGGTGGGATACCAGGAAATCCAGAGCTCAGCATCCCATTGTGCAGAATTTCTGCGAACTCCTGTGCAAACAACAATCACAAATCGAATGGAAACTGATTGAGGTGCTTTTGACCATCCTGACTCTAAGGGTTGAACTCTGAAGTGAGGATCTGAACTTCAGACTGCTGGATTTAAGTTTCAGAAAAGTTTTTATTAAAAGATTAAAAAAAGGGAGACCCTTAAGAAGATGAAATGTGAAAGTATCAATATCTGCCTATGCAAAACTGCTCTGGCAGTGAAGGTTTATGAAGACAAACAAACCAAACCCAGCCAGGCTTGGGGCACTTGTTTCTGCTAACTGTTATTTGGATTTTTCAAATCCCCTGCAAATTCCCCTGCCTAAAACACAATCGGAGCAGTGTCCCTTTCTCACAATTAAAAAATGAAACTAAGATGGGGGAGAACCCTCCTGCAAGAGGGCTCCTGTTCCCAAACACCTGCAGGAAGAGCAGGCTCACCCTGCCTGCACCCTGTGCAGCTCCTGATCCAAGCTCTGGTGGCTCTCCCCCATCCCAGGGCCTTGTGTCCAGCCAGGGGTTGTTTGCAGGCCCCAAGTACCCATTTTTTTTGGTTAAAACTAGCATTTCTCCACTTGCAGGCAGCCCTGCCAGGGTGTCTTTTACCCCAACACTGCTGCTCAGGCTTCCCCCTCTGCCGTGAGCCCAATGAGGAACTTGGTTTGTGTGCTGGCAGAGGCTCATTGTTATTAATATCCCTCGTTATTTACTGTGCAGTGCTCGTGAATGGCAGCAGCCCAAGCTCTGCAAACGACCGGGGCTGCTCTGCCTTAATCCCTCAAAGTTTTGGCAGCCCCCCACTCTCTGAGCCCACGCTGGAGTCTCCCCACACCGGCTTCACCCGTGGGGTGACCGCTTGGTCTTTAAATAAAAATAGAGCTGCAGAGGTGCCCCAGAAGTAGAGAGATGGCCTAGCAGCCAGGTGCAGGCACACAGCCACGTGCAAGGAGGGCAAAACAGCGAAAAAAACCAGGGCTGGAGCAGAGCCCAGGGCTGCACTCCGGGACGAACGTTTTCACTTTTGTTTCTGCGCTTGGGTTCCTGATTTACAGCTCGCGGCCGAGTGGGTTTGGGAGCAGGGCTGGGCAAGCTCCCCCATCCCGCTGTTGAGCTCTGCAGCCAGAGAAGAAGCTGAAAATGGCTTGAAACCGGGAAACAAATGATTTATTATCCCCAGCGCGGGGCACGGCGCAGCAGCCTGAGCCGTGCCGGGTGGCAGCGCCCGGAGCCGCGCAGCCCCGGTGTCCCGGTGGGCTGGGAACCCCTCCGGGATGCGAGCAGGGATGGCCCGGTCCCGGTGCCCCCAGGGCTGGCCGGCCATGGCGCGGGAGGACAGGGACACGGACGTGGCCTTTGTTTCCCCTCCCGGCTTTGTTTCCCCGATGGCCCCATTGATGAAGCCCCATGTGGCCAAACAGCCCCGGACCCACCCCAAAACAGGCCTGTTAAATTTGATTAAATGGCTCCTTCCTTCTTCTCACCCCCTGGAGCAGATTAAGCTCTCACCAGGGCAGCGTTTTCCCGCAGCTCCATTCTGGGGACAAATTCCTAAATCACCTGATAACTTACAGGCTTAAACCGCCGATTTGAGCCCGGGGTTTGCAGGATGCAGCCCCAGGCCAGCGCCCTGGTGTGCACGAGAAGCTGCAAATGGGGCGTGCACACATGAATGAGTTCCTATCTCGATTTATTTCGCCGATATTTCAGGCCCGGAAGGAGAGCTGATGGTGAAACGGGTGCCCAGTGCTTGGGAAAAGCTGCACCTCTGGAAAGTGCCCTGAAAAAGTGCTTGAAATCACCACCAGCTCCCCGGGCTCCTCAGAACCGCAGGTGCTGAAAAAGCACCCGGAGGGACGTGGGGGACCCGAGGGTGGCCCCGAGTGGCACACATCTTATCGTGCCCTGCGTCCTGGCGCTGCCACCGAGCCCCGCAAAGCTGCCTTTGGGATTTGGGCGCCTAATTCCTGCTAATTTCCCTGGGAAAGGGGAAACCCGATCCTCTGAGTCAGCTCAGGTTGTTGGGTGATTAGAAGGGCCACCTGGCTAATTACGAGCGGGTGTCTTTGTCACCTGCAGGGCCTCTGGATCAGCAGTTAATGGGGCGCGGCGGGAGCTGGGGGTTCAGAGGAGAATTTGGTGGCGGTGGGAGCAGGAGAAGGACTTGGAGGTGCTCCCTGCCCTGCTCCGGGGTGCTTGGGGCTGCAGTAAGCACAGCCCCCGCACAGGGAAATGCACGTAAATAACTCCCTGTACCCTGATGATCCTGAGACAGCACAGGCTGATCCATGGCGGCCACAGGGTGAGCAGGATCAGCCGGTGGGGCTGGAAAGCGGCTCAGGCTCAGCCACCCCTCACCTGCGCGTCCTGACCTGTGGGGAACATGTCCCTGCCCGTCACCCCTACTCGGTGCCAGCAGGGTCTGGTTTAGTGCCACTCCTGTCCCCTGGGATGGAGAGGATGCATTTTGGGTGCTGCTGCTGGTGGGATGGGGATGGGCAAGGGGCCGCGTCTGGGGTGCTCCGGCTTGGGCACTCTATGCTGGAGCATCCCATGAGTTTTGGGGAGCTGCTCATGCCCCTGGCGGGTGCCCTGTGCTCCTCCAACACCGGCTGTGCCACCTCCTGGGCCTGGGGTGGCCGCTGGCTCTGGCAGGGAGCGGGATGCTCCGGGGCCGCAGCCATCGCTGCGCGGCTGCACAATGGCCTTTTGTCTGCGGGGCTGCCCCGGGAACATCCCGCCATCCCAGTTTCCCAGTAACATGAAACCTCCTCGGGGCTGCGTGCCGGGAGCACAAAGCCTGGGGCTGCGGCGGGGGGCAGCCCTGGCCCCGCTCCCGGCTCCCCCCACGCTCCCCCACATGTGCACTGGGCTCAGGTGGGTGGGGGGAGGCTGCCAGCCCGGCCGGGGTCCCGCGTGGCAGGAAGGAGGTGGCAGGAATCAGGGAAGCACCAGGAATGGAGCCGTGTGCCATTCCCCTGTGCGGGGAGGATGCGGCTGAGCCACACTGGGGGTGGTGGCAGCTTCCTCACCTCTGGTGTCCCCACGAAGGGAATGTGCCAGGGGGGGAGAAAAACCCCTGCGGGCGATCCCTGGAGCCCCTTCCCCTCGGCTCTGGCCTGGGGGTGCCGATGGCGGGGAGGAGGGAGGGGAGAGGCCGGGGAGGAGCCGCTGTAAATCATTAACGGGGACGCGGTGGAGGGGAATGCGAGGGGTCATTAATCGAGGGCTCTCTGGCGGGCTCTGGCCGCCTGGTATTTTTTTTAAAAAAAGGTATTTTATTGCACATCAAATCTGATCGGGGCAGCGAAGGAGGGGTGAGGGGATGCACTGCAAGGCGCTTGTGGAGGGCTGGAGGACACGCTGTGCAAGGACAGGGGATGTTTTTCCTGCTTTTCCCAGCCTTTCCTAGCTCCTCCATGCTCTGGAATCTCTCTCTGTGTGACGGGGAAGTAGCCCCCACTCCCTGACCAGCTCTTAAGTCCACTGTGACAAAAGGGACGCACCAGGGGCTCCAAGAAAACACTTTTCCCAGCCAAATTCCTTGACACTTTCCCGTTTACTCAGCTCCGGTTGGAAAAGCATCGAGGACCGGGGGACTTCCCTCGTCCCGGTGACTCAGGTGCCGGTCACCGGGGTGACTCAGCTGCTGGCAGAGTCCCGGCTCCGGAGGCACAGGGGGCCCGGGGTGACACAGAGGCAGGGGAATGGGAACGGGAGGCGATGCCGGAGGTGACGGGATGGGGAATGGGGCCAAGCTGGCTGCTGGTAAAAGGGAGGGAGCGGCAGCCGGAGCAGCCCTGCTCGTGTCCCCTCCATGGCCTGGGGGTTTGACCAAAGGGCTTTGGGAGGACATGGGTCAGGGCGGGCAGAGGGTCACCTAATGGCCAGTGAATGACCCGAGGCAGCAGGGCGGGATGGAGCGTCCTCGGATGGAACCGGCAGGTTTTCCTGCGGGGGACGCGCTCCCACGTAGCCAGAATCACAGAATTACGGAATAATTTAGGTTGGAAAAGCCAACGCTGTGGTTTCCTGCTGCCACCTAACGGGGAGAGGCTCCGGCTGTGGAGCGGGATGGAGGGAGGGCTCCGCATCCCCCCCCCAGCCACCCCGGATGAGTCTCAGCA